CGCCGCCGCCCGAGCGCTGTGTGTGTGTGTCCGCCCCCGGGGTGTGGCGAGCGAGAGGGCGCTGGCGCCCATAACCGCTGCTTGTACCTTTCAGCCTGAATTTCAAGGACCCTGAAGCGGTGAGAGCTCTGACGTGTACCCTCCTGAAAGAGGATTTTGGGCTTACGATTGACATCCCCGTGGAAAGGCTTATTCCTACCGTTCCCTTGAGGCTGAACTACATCCACTGGGTGGAGGATCTCATTGGTCATCAGGATGCTGACAAGCAAGTCCTTAGGCGAGGCATTGACATAGGTACTTGCAAAGGCAAAACGTTCAATTCGTTATTTACTGTCAAGGAAACTAGCTGATAAAATTTGTTACACATCTGTAGGGGAACGTGAAGTTTGAGAAACAGAAAAATCTGAACGGTGCTCGCCATGGTGAAACGGGCAGTCTGACTCCACTGGTATTTCATTTGGCCTCTTGGTGGGTAGGATTTCTCTGCACAAACACAAGAATGGCCACAGCAGGCAATTATTTGGCTTTTCGTGGCCTTGAACTCTCTTGAGTGTAGCTTTGTGTGGTATACAAAAATTATGCTACTAGTAACGCAGGCAAAAATGTCATTCTAAAGGAATTTTTAAAAAATGATGGCATTTTTTCTCAGTCTTCTAACTAGTGAATTATGTTACATTAGCAATCTATTAATTTTGCTTTTGGATGTCTGCATGAGAGAGTTTGTGAGTTGCATAGCAATATTCTTCAGTGTTCCTTTTAATAAAAAAAAATAATCTGTGGTTTCAGGTGTATTTGAGAGACGAATGATCTGTCTTTTTTAAACTTTGTTTTTTTTTTTTTCCCCCCAGTGCAGATATTTTAATGAGCCTAGTTGTAAAAGAGACTTAATTAGAAACCAAGGCAAGTACTGGCAGAGCTGCCTTTTGGTTGTAGATGGTCAAAGATTTCCTGTATATTGTTGAAAGCAAAATATTTTTTAAACTGGACTGAACATCCACAGATGGATGTCACACGTCTAAGAGCGTTGTAGCTTGTTCAGTTTCAATATCTGGATTATTAGCCAATGTCTGGATTAAGCAGTAGATTAATTGTAAACAGTTAATTCAGCAGATATGTGAATTTATTAGATGTACACTGATGCATATAATTTGGTTTTCATTAGAAATAAAAAAAGACAGTCTCTCTAGGAGAAAGGAACTATATGCCACATACAGATAATAAAATTGGCATTTGGATTCTAAATTGTTGATGATTCTATATGAATTATTTAGAAGGCACCTGCGATGGTACATTTGAATTTAGTTCACATCTTTTATTTTTGTCAATAGAATCTTCCTTTACGATTTCAAAAGCTTGTTTTTGAAGATTGTTTTGTGCTGAGAGAAGCTGGAATTTCCTTTTTAACTTAAGTTTTAATGCTTGACATTAAAATGCTAAAGTTATTGACTTCCTCAAAGCTTGGGTTCAGTAATCTCAGCTACCATGCCAGTTTTTTCATTAATATTTTCTTGGTGTTTGCTAGCATGATTTTGTTTTTTAATGGAATTTTTTAATTCCTGAAATTTACTGACTTGCATTTTTAGCTGGATTTGTGATGGATACAAGGTTTGTATCATCATGTGGTGTGTGCACAGCTGCTCTCCTTTCATAACTTTTAGACTTGTTAGCCAGCTTCTATGCATTTGATATTAGGTAGCATTTTTGAAAACAATTTCTATGAACTTCATCACGGTACGTGGCTAAGTAGAAGCGATAGATCCTTTTTAAGTCCTCCAGCTACTGTAAAATCTTCAATTTGAGTTTGCAGTGAGCTTTGATGTTCCAACTCTGAGAAAGCAGTAAGTCATCCAAGAGGAACGTTACAGGAGTGCTGGAAATAACTGCATGCTTTTGCTTACTGACAGACATTGTTGTTTGTGTTTCAGTAAGTCAGTATAACAGTAGACTCTCTATATCTCTGAACTCAAGTTTGGTGGTGGTGAGATGTTTTTCCCTTTTCTTGTATCCACTCACTTTAATCCTAAATTTGACTGTCATTGGTAATTGGATCACCTAGATATACCATAATTATGAGAAGGAATAATTTTGTGCTAGCATATATTTCTCTTTGTTACCAAGTGTTTATCTGTGGCTCTTTTTTCAGATATCTTAATTGGCAACCCTGTTTCTTTGATCATTTGGGGCATGAGGGAAAACCGGTCTGATGGAACAGAAATGTTGGGTTTGGGGTTTTTTGTGGTTGCTGTATGCATCAAAGTAAATTATTTGTGGTAGATAATAGAAAAATGCAGAAGAAATCTATTTGTGAAAAATGCAGAAGAAAAATCGATTTGTGATAGTGGGTTTTTTTGTAAAAACAGAATATATTTGGCTTTCACTATATAAATTAATCATTGTTATGTAGAAAAAAAAAAGCTTAAAAAAAAGTTGATCATTTACTAGAAAATTTATTCCAGTTTATGAAATTCTTTATTTTGTTAAAAGTGCATCTTTGACAATGCTGTATTTCAGAATAAGAGGATAAAGTTCACTAAAGGACTTTAGAGTAGTAGATGATCAGTAATCAGAGTCTTCTTGAAATTAGTTCTTTTTGTTGTAAAAAGTACATAGTTAGCAGCCACGCTGCATATAACACCAGAGACTTGTTTTACTTTTCTCATGGCTTTTCACTTCTGCAGGGACAGGAGCATCTTGCATATACCCATTACTTGGAGCAACTTTGAATGGCTGGTATTTTCTTGCAACAGAAGTGGATGATATGTGCTTCAATTATGCCAAGAAGAATGTGGAACAGAATAACTTGTCTGATCTTATAAAAGGTGTGATGTAATAAGGTATTTAGTATCATACAAATGTTGCGACCTATTTTTGCCATGTTCAGTGGCATAACAGAATCCATATTTCTGCCAAATACATGCTCAACTGTTTACTGAAGCAGAATGTTTACTAAGGTCCGTGTATGCTTAGGCCAGAAAGTCACAGCTTGTCTAGAATGGGATGTGTGGTTAGAGAACTATTCTACTTTATGAAAATCTGAAAGTTAAACTTCACCCTGGGGTGTTTTTTCCTCTCTCTATATTCTTTGTTACTGAAGTATTTCTTGGAGTTCGTGCTGTTTCTGCTGCTAGCAGACCTGGAGTGCTCCCCTCAGGTAATTTTCATGACACTGCCACGTATAGGTATCTTGTACGGAGAGAGTCCTTCGTCCTCATTTCTGAATTGAGGTCCTAACAATGCCTGTGGTAGTAGTAGCAGTATGCCAGACTTGGTCTGTGGATAAGCTTGGAAAATTTTCTGTAGGAACTCAGTATACTAAAAAGCAGGTCCATTATTCAGCTCTGAAATAAAAACTTTAGTTCTGCTGGAATTTGGAAGCATCCTTTTTACCAAAATGATGTTGTCTTGGTCCATCCTCCATGTCGATCTTGAAGATCCAGGACTTGATGTGGAGAACAATGACAGTTTTCTGTTACTTCTGCCATCATAGGATTTTTAGTGGTGTGGTGGTGTTTCACTGTGCTGGAAACACCTCTGGCAAAGGAAAATGCCTCATGTGAAGCTGTTGTGCCAAAGGTGATAAGCTGGAGTAAATGACTGATTGCTGGTGGGCAGAGCCACGGGCAAGGGAGTACCACTGGTGGTACCCATAGCCGAATGCTGCCTGGGAATGATCCACCCTGTCACTTTTCAACTCCTGGGCCTGAATTGTTTAGCTAGAGCTGAGTATACTACTGTAGCTAGTAACTTGTTTAGCAAGGCATTTTGGAGTCATATTAGAAATCTTTCTATACCTCTGGTTTTTTTTAAAAAAAAAAAAACAAACCATGATTTGTATCGTGTTTTAAGAGTCTGTCTTGAAATTTTTGCCAAATAGCTTCATTTGGAGATCATGTTGGAATATAGCCTTTGTTTTTCTAACTTCAGTGAAAACAAATAATTCAGTGACAGTAAAAACAGCAGTAATGCAGCAATGGTTTACTAGTTGCATCACAGCTGCTTTCTTCCCGGGGGAAAAAAAAGTAATGTTTTTTGGCTGAAAGTGAAATACTGTTTGCAGTAACTTTCTTCCAAAGGGAATCTCTTCTGTGTGCAAAACAGAAACTGATAAACCTGGGGATTGATTGTAAATGCTAAAAAAAATTACATGGTGTTCTGTTCTATTTTACTGGAATGGAATGATGGCTAGAATTTGTCTGCTGGTATTTGAAAAAAAAAAAAAAAAAAAAAGTCAGTACCCTGTATGTAATGGTAGGTTAAGAGATTTTCAACAACTTGGACTCTGGAAGTTTTCAAACTACTTGCAGGGTAATTTAGGATTGCTCTGCGGCATGATTATTACATTGTTTGCTTCCTGTTTGGTTTATTTGCTTTCTTATTTCCAAATAAAATCTCACACTGTCAATTAAATAGCTTGCTAGGTAGGTGGAATGTGGTTTAACAGTGCTATGTCTTTTAACAAGTTCTTTGATGTCATCTTCTAAGTAACTTTACAATAATTTTAGAAAGTGTGTACAATAGACCATGTGTTACTGCTCAGATTAACATAATCTTTTTGCAGTTCTGCTCATCTTAGCCCCGTTGTCTGCTTTCTCTACTGTAAAAACTAATCCCATGTTTTTCTTTTTTTTTCCTTTTCTTTTTTTTCCCCTCCTCCATAAAATTGAAAAGGGTATTGCTAACAAGAAAGGCAGTGAAATACTCGATAACTGTGGGCTGGATATTTCAAAGCATTTATATAAGTAAATGTCTCCTCTGTGTGCAACAGCAACTGCTGTGTTGCCCCTCAGTGCCAGAAGTACGCACTGTGCAGCTTCTGGAGACATTTAGTGATTTCTTGGAAGAGTGTAAGCTGAAAACAATCAGTCCAACTGATGTAATGCCTGTCTGAAGAACTTTTGGCTTTGACTGTGATGTGTAATCGTAATTAGTAATTTGTATTTAGTAATCTGTAATTAGTAATTACTAATTTTATTAGCTTACCATTTTTAATGTTATAAGGGGAGCAGGGGAACAGAAATCTACAGAGATAAGAAAGCGTCACACTTCAAAGTCAACAATTTTAAATGTGAAAAACTTAATATAAAGAGAAATGCTAAGTGTTTAATTTAGAAATTTAAGATTATAAAACAGCGAGCAATGTGTTAATATATTTTTAAAATGAACTATCCTTCTGTTCTCGTAGGATTTAAAATTTGTTTATCTCTTGACTATAAATTTCTGTACTCTGAAATGCTTGTGACTTACAGAACTGCAGCTTTAAAGTTAGTGGGTGTTCTAGGTATTATTCTTGCTATTTATAACCTGAGCTTTGGTAATTTCCTGCTACCCTAACAATTTTGTATTCTTAGGATGATGATAAACTGTAGTAGTAAATGTTAGGAAGAGAGGTGTGCCTTCTGCCTCCGTTCTAAATACCTTTGTTCTATGTGTGTTATCTGTGAGTTGCAGGACTGGTAAAGTCTGCAAGAAGTCCTGCTTGTAATAATCTTTATACATGCTTTAACTGGACTTCATCCATATTTAAATTCCTGCTCCTTGGGCTGGAGTTCCTGTGGTCTTCAGAAGACATGTGACAGGACTTGACCACAATTTCCAAGGGAATTATATAGCCTTTGAGGAAAGACAGTGGAGATCTACGTCAGATGTTTGCCTTCATCCTTGTGATGGGTAATAATAAGTTGATGGACCCTAGTAAGCAGAAGGTTTGTCCAGAAAGGAATTCTAATCCTTTTCCTCTGTCGTGATTCTTCTAAATCGTATAAGAGTACAGTTCCTGTGCAGGATGCGTAGTATTGCTAACACAGTAATCCTGTTTTATTGTAAGATTAGATTTAAAGCTAATCTTGGGGCTGCATAACTTCAGTAAAGATAGCTTTATCTTAGTCTTCCTCTTTCTTAGCTTTACACTCTATAAAGACCAAACAGCACATTTTCTTGACTACAATTCTAGAATTCCCTATCTTAAAAAAAATTGTGTAGACTGGATTTCTTTTATCTCTGAGGAGCTGAGGAGCCCATGAGGTGATTAACTGACACTTGTGTTGATTTTTGGAAGGGCTTAAAGCGAATTTGTAGTTGCATCAGGGAACTCAGTATAACTCAAGTAGTTCCTATTGTTTTAAACAGACTCATGTAATTCTGCTACTGTGTATCAACATACAAGCTGTTTGTATGCTAATCCTTAACCTGAAGTCTTTATTTGCATGCTGATACGTTACTTTTTTTTGTAGAACATATTGTTTAGAAAGTACAGGGTTTTTTATACAATATATTGTTTCAAGAAACACTGAAATGTAAATGGCATGCTAGATAAAGTGTGAAGTTCCTTACTGACCAAATTCCTGTTTTCTATTAGTGGTTAAGGTACCACAGAAGACTCTACTAATGGATGCACTGAAAGAAGAATCTGAGATCGTTTATGACTTCTGCATGTGCAACCCCCCCTTTTTTGCCAACCAATTGGAAGCAAAGGTAAGCTAACAAACTAAATGTTGTGTGTACTTCAGTGTTCAGTGAGTGGGAGGGTAGCAACAATTTAACCTCTTCCCTTGGGGAAGGTCAAGTGGAAAATCCCAAATCGTTATGAAATAGCATTTAAGTCTTCTCCCTCCCCACCCCCCCCCCCCCCCCCCCCCCCAAAGGACTTTTGAAAAACTTAACTGTTACCCTTCCTAAAGTGGAGGATGACCTGTAGAATTTTTTCACAAGTTCTTACTGTCTTAGAGAATTAGTTTGGAAAGTAGACAGCTAGTAAATCTGAAATCAAGTGCCTGTTGCATAACAGTGGTACAGAGGAATTAGTTTCTGGCATCGTACCTGTCTGTATTTTTTGTTTCCTTAGTGATTTAGGCAATATCATATAGCTCAATTCTTGCAATATCCACTGAATATAGTCAGAAACTTAACTCTGTAATATAGTGCAGTAGAAAAAAGATTTTAAGTGTTGAAATTAAACACTATAGATTGTAATTGTCTAGATGTATGTAACGAGCATGTCTTACATGTATTGGAACCACATATTTCATATTGGCAGGATACTGATGTGTGACAAGTAACTTACCTAAGTTTGAGATTGTAGGGAATTCACTCAGTTATGCTTATTTTGAATGTATCTTTGTCTATTATCCATGGTTCTGATGGGGGGAGGATAACTAGAGGTGGTGACACTTGCTACCCACTAAAGATTGAGGCAGGAAGCAGTGTACAAAGCAGCCTAAGATTTCATTAAATGTTCATCTCAAATGTTCTTTTTTACCCAGGGAGTAAATTCTCGAAATCCACGGCGTCCCCCTCCCAGTTCCGTAAATACAGGAGGGATCACAGAAATCATGGCTGAGGGGGGAGAACTAGAATTTGTCAAAAGAATTATTCATGATAGTCTACAACTTAAAAAGAGGTTACGGTAAGTGCTTTGTCCAGTTAAAAAAAAAACCCACCTTTTATCCGCCTCTTTGGCGGAAATCACATGAAAATGATATTTTAAGTAAGGAAAGTAGCTGTGGTCCAGTGGTATCTGTTTGGTTTGTTTAATGATACATACACATCAGTAATTAGTCTCAGTTTATGTAAAGTTAATTGTTCCTGAGCATGAATTACAACTCATTGTTGGAGGTATTTAAAGGCAGAAGGCAAAAAAAGCCTGTACCAGTGACACTTGTAGCTTGCAGCTAAATTAGCACACATAACTTGCTAAAGACAGTCAGTGTTGATTCTTAAGGGCATCTGGTATGGGAGGATTTATGACATTGCCTAGTTATCTGTTTTAGGTAGTTCCTGTCTTTTCCTGGCTGAATTTTGGTAACTTGCAGCTTTGCCTACTAAAGGGCACTGTGGTAATGAATGCTATCTTGAGTGAACATAAGCTGCAACAAAAACCATAGCGAGACCTTTGTTTGAACACGATAAACAGATGGCACATCTTCAGTTTTTTGACTATGAGACTTCCCTTTCCCCAGTGCTGTACACTATTTCTCTAGCTCTTCTGGAAGATTCCTTCAGGTTTTTTTTAATATGCTTCTAAAACATAGCTGCCAAAATTTTATGTGTTTATTACCACAGCTTCTTCAGTGCTCTAAGCAAAGGAAATACAACCTGCCTTTTATACATTCAAGAAGTGTTTTGGTTTTGTTTTGTTTAGACCCTTCTAAGCAGAGCATTGCATTAGAATCTCATCTTCATCTAATACCAAAATTTTTTTCTGGAATGTTTGTTTTCTAGTAATGGGCCTGAAAAAATGAAGAATACATTCAGTTTTTGGAAAAACAAGACAAAGCAAAACTGCATATGGCTCTGCTAGAAGTGCTTCTGTCTTGTAGTGCTTTGAAGAAAAAAAAATTGAGAAAGTTTGCAGAGGTTGCAATTTCCTAAATGTTGAAACTTTTTTTTCTTTTATTTAATGTCCTTCCTTTCTTTGTCACCCCCCAAATCTTATAAAATATAGAAAGGGGGTAGAGAGTGTGCTAGAGTGATAAAATAGAGGTTTTGATGTTCAAAAGTGATTACAAGCCAGAAGAATTAAACTTTTGAAAATTTTAGTACGTCTTTTTTGTGCCAGCAAGGACACTGAAAAATGACTGGTATTCCTGTCAAAGTTTGTAGGTAGAATGTTATTTTAGGCTACTTGACATAGACAAGCTTTTAGGTGTGTATGTTCTTATTCATGTCTAAAATAAATGCAGTGATTTTTCAAAACTAAATATAAGCTGAAACAGTTGTTGTGAATTTAGTCAGTGATACAGTGGGTGAGGGGAGGCAGGTCAGAGAGGAAGTGATGGTGTATATTTTAAATGGTCTTGCACTTACAGCTGGATGTTTTTATCCTTTGTACACGTTCTTTCTGATATGTAGTGGTTTTATTCCACCAGTGTAGTTTCCACAGGAGCATGTGGTGTACAGTGTAATACACTATGATCTGTAAAGCACGTGTATACAGTTGAGGACTTAATTGGTTCTGTAAGGTAGGGGCAGGGGATGCATCTTTGATGACTTCTGGAAATGCAATAGCAACATGGTTTCTGGTTCTACATGGTGTGTGTAGATCCAGGGTAAACTTGCTTTTGATAAGTTGCTGTTTGACGACCTTGAGAGGAGTGGCCAATGTAGTAGAGAACTGACTAATGTTACTCTCAAGGCAAGAAGTCTTCGCCTTGAAAAGGCGATGTGGAATTATGAGGAATACGTCATTCCTGTATTGCTCCTCTTGGCAACACCACTCCTCTAGGAAAGAGGCGGGTACCTCTTGATCTGATAAACTTATAGTGTAAGACATAGAACATACCCACATGCTAACTGTGTATCATTTAGGAAAAATAAGCTCTGTTGTATTTGGGGGGTAGGAATGGTTCTGTTCATGTTTTTGAATAAACTACCTTGGAGAATCTGTTACAGAAAGAACAGTTTACTTAAAATACTGTTTCCTATTTTGTTAGAGATAAGGTTTGGCAACTCTGTCAAAGGGCATGAGTAATGAACTGTTAGTAGATAGAGACTCCCTTGGGCCAGGAGATGATCTTGACTTATTTACCCCCATCCCCACTTCAGCTAGGAGTCGCAGGTTCAGTATTTTGTAGTTTTGGGAAAGATGTGTGTTTTAGTTTTGCCAGAAATTTTGGGGTTTCATTTAAGTATTGCTGCATGAAATTCTGTTTATTGCATTATGCAGGAAGAAAATTTAAATAATTGTCCCTTAACACCACTGATAATACTTTTTTTTTCCCTTAGTTTACAGTATATTTAATTTGTGTATGTAAGCAATTTAAAGTGCTTGCCTTCAGTTTAGATGCATACTCATGAGAAAACTGTCCCTTGATAACCGGGAACTCTAATTTTCATACTTCAAGACATTATATTTACGAATAAGCTTTTTGGATCCAGTCATCAAAAAAGTATGGAAGAGGGGATTGTAGAGCTCGAATAGTAATTTACATGAAGACCAGAGGTGTAATGTTTGGAGATAATGAAGATGTGGAGCTGAGTGGAAGGATAAGCTTCACCAGAAGCGGGAAAATAAATTTCTTTCCTTTTTTTTCCCTGTTTGTTTCCTCATGAAATATGGGTTAGGTGATGGAAACCTGGATAACGAGTTGTGAATGAGCAGAAGTGATAGTCAGTATGTCTGCTTCTGAGGCACAAATGCTTGTCAATAGTTGAATATTCCTTTTTATTCTGATTCATTCTTCAAAGAAAATGGAGAAATTGAAACAAATTATTGTAAGCGGTAACATCTTCCACGTAACTAAAGTCACTCTTTGAAACAAGATTCTTGGTTGTTTAGGTGCTGTTTCAATAATAGTCTTAACGTATTTCCTAAAAAGTCGAAAAGATTCCCCTGTCCAGTCTATCTTTGGGCCTTCTGTTCTGATTCATGTTGTACTATGTCCTAGTCACTCTGTTTAAGAGTGTGATTTTTTTGTTGTTGTTTTGTTTTTAAATCTCCTATTGTTCTTGCAGGTTTCTGATCCAAGTAGTTCTTTCTGGTAGTTGCCATTTTCAGTTGATCTGCATTTGTAAAATGCTTCGTTAATGTGTTCTTTGCAGATGGTACAGTTGCATGTTGGGGAAGAAATGTAGTTTAGCACCATTGAAAGAGGAACTTCGAATCCAGGGGGTGAGTTTGTATATAGTCCATGTATATCCTGTGTATGTTCTATAAAAGATATACTATGCTCTGATGCATGTGGGTAGTTATTATTGAATTGTTTTACTGAGTTTTTATTTACGAGAAGAAACTGCAGTTCCTTGTTAGGGAAGCACTCAAAGCAGTTGACATTTAATTATTGTAGATTCAAAGCTGATAGATAAGTAGCACATATTGTCTCCAGATTTTTGTCTTTATCACATGTAGAAGCATGTCTTCGTCCATTCTAGAACATCCAGGGTTTCTGCTTTAAAATAGCTTTAACAGGCCTGTTGTAAAAAAAAAAAAAAAAATTCTAGCTCTCTTTCCTCTTAGCTAACGTGAGATCTAGCAATTTGGTTGATAAAAGAAATTGTAACATTATTTAAGTGGCAGCATTGTTTTGTTTGTGTTCAATTCTGGCACCAGGTAAAATTGAACCTTGTGCTACTGTTCTCATGCAAGAAGTCTGTACAGAGGACTTTTTTACGGCTTTCAGGAGAAAGTGTAGTCTTCTCTTATTTCCATACAAAGAAAGTGATTGTGAGATCTGTCTTTGTATATGGTGGAGAGTGGAAGGAAAGAGAATGCATGGTGAAATCAATTCCCAGAAAGATGAACTGGATGCCATAGGGAATCCATAAACTCAATGCCAAAAGCAGATGCTGAGCTAGGCACAAAATTTCAAGTATCTGACTTTCTTCCCTATCCTTGAACTGTTGCACCTCAGTCTTAGTAAAGTGAGAGAAATCCTTGCAAACCTTGCACAGGAAAGCTGAGGTTCTCTTTTGTATTTTTCTTGAAGTTGCCAATTTCATTTTGTTCAGGTTTGTAATCTTTGTTGTATCAGAGCTGGGAATATGTTCGTTGTAACCAAGCACATGCTGTGTTGTGGTTCAAGTTAGGATGCAACATAAATGTTCCAGAAAGTCAACTTATTGTTCAAACTGTCTTGACATTTGCTGTATTTATTGGAAATTTTGATAGAATTAGGAATCGAAAGGTGGCAAAAGTTCTAGGATAGAGACACCTTTCCGTCTCTCTTTTGAAGGCATTTCTCAAAAGTAGCAGATTTTTTTCCCCTCCCGCCTCCTTCTATGCAGACCTGGGACTTACGCTCTGGAGGTGATGATAATTCAGAGTGAGGTGGGATGGTTGATATTTATCCTTGCTAGTATTTAGCACATTCTCCATACCATACATAAATGCCTTACAGCATCCATGTGTGGAAAGACTAGACAACACTAACACTTGAGTTTTATGTTTAAAGGCAGTGTAAGTTCAGCCTTTTTTTTTTTTTTTTTGTGCAAATATAGAGAAGTGTTTCTGGGCACGTTTCTGCCACCTGCAGGCAGGTGAGTAGTTTGGTTTCCCAGCCTTTAGTTGCCTTTGTTCTGTGTTCCTTTGCTAGAGCAATGGGTTCAGTATTCAAATGTGGAACAGGAGCAGGTTCTGAACACAGAGAAAGGATGTGCTTTTTGCAGAATCAGAGTGCAGATGTGTGCTGTAGGTGTGCTAGATTGCTGCACAAAAAGGGTCATGTTGTGTGTTGCTGAACTTGAAGCTCTGAAAGGGCATAGACATGGCAGGGCAGAGATGGGAAATCGCGGGCACAGGTAACAGGCTTGGCACTGACCAGCTTCAAGTGGCACTGACATCCATGAGCCATGTCAGAAAGAATCTCCATTTCTGTCACGAGAAAATAACTCTATGCTAACTTTGTAATTTTTTTAAATTTGAAAATATGTGCAGTAAAACAATATTGTTTATTAATATGAAACGAAGTTTTGTATTGCTTCTTTGCATAGGTTCCTAAAGTTACTCACACTGAGTTCTGTCAAGGACGCACCATGAGATGGGCACTGGCATGGAGTTTCTATGATGATGTACAAGTACCTGTAAGTAGCTTTATTTTGGTTTGCTTGTGATTGTCTGTGCCTCTTATTTCAGGAAGGGCCTAATGAGCTGTAACTACTGTGAAACAAACTGTTCTTCTTCAGACGAACATTGGATGCGCTGGGCTATATGGACAGTGGGATTTCTTAACTGGCTGCCAGTCTGTTAGCAGTTGTTACATGTGATTCATGAATGACCTATGTTTAGGGAGAAAAAAAGAAGCTTGCGTAGGAACTTCCTGTGGGTTTCAGTGAAAGTAAGGGTTGCTTGTAACATACTTCAATAGCAATTTAGTAGTATTAAAAATATGCTAAGTTTGGGGCTAGATTTGAACTTTAAGCTTCCCTCTGAGAGCTTGGTTTTAATTTACCGTATAGATTCTGTTACCAAATAGGTATGAACATGTCTAGCTCAGACTTGCCTACATGAATGTAAGTGGAGCTTGTTCACCTTAAATAATGTGAGCCAGTTGCTTTTTTGGATCCAGATGTACATATACTGTAAGATAGGTATAGACAATAACCAACCTTATAGAAGATGCGAGTAAACCTTTGGTGAACTTGGATTAAAATGTGGCTATTAGCACTTGACCTTTATTCCCAAAAGCAGCCACACTTTCTCAGCTCAGAGAGCGCTAATAGTTTGAAGGAACCGATGAAGCTTTTTGCCTGACGTCTGAAGATAAACTCCCTCTGTCCATCAGGCTAGCATAAAGTGCATGATCCTGTTAGCTGTTTTTAATCTAAAACTCTTTGCAGTGAAGTGAAACTCAGGCCGTATCAATGACCGTTTAGTGGCTTACATTATACTCTTAATCCCCATGTCTTCTGAGTACAAAAGTCATCCCACTAATACTGCATAGCTTTGTAATTTTTTTTTCTTTCTTCTAGTCACCTCCCTCTAAAAGAAGAAAATTAGAAAAACCCCGAAAACCAATTACATTTATGGTCTTGGCTTCTACAGTCAAAGAGTTATCCATCAAAGCTGCAGCTATGGGCTGGGATGCTGTAGAAGCTATTGCTGTGGTTAGAGCCTGGGTAGAGAAGATTCTCACTGATCTGAAGGTACAGTATAAGTATTATATGTTAAAACAATATCCTACTTGAAAGCATAACTGTGAGAGGATAATATGAAGTTCTGCTGTTTTCTGCAATAGGTTCAGCATAAACGTGTTCCCTGTGGAAAGGATGAAGTTAGCCTGTTTGTGACTGCCATTGAAAACTCCTGGATTCATTTGAGGAGAAAGAAACGAGAGAGAATAAGGCAATTACGAGAACTTCCTCGAGCTTCTGAAGATGTTCTGCAAGCAATGGAAGAGGAAAAAAGCAGCCAGAAGAGTATGAGCAACAATTCAGACTGTGAAAACCCCAAGGCTGAAGACTCTGAAACGGGGTTTATGGCACCTGATGAGGATATTCACTTGACCACAGGTGACGAGCTGACGGAAGAATCTGCTGCCAAAGAAGAACACAGTGAGCACGTGAAGGAGGAGGAGACAGAAGCAATGCAGGCAGAAACGTCACTTGGCAAAGGTTCCAGTAATGCAAAGGAGGAACCTTGCCCTTCAGAGGAAGCTAGCAATCTGACAGTTGAAAAAGAACAAAGTCCCAAAGAAACTAGTAGATGTTTTCTCTTTAAGTGTTTAATGAATGTGAAGAAAGAAGGAAATGATGTATTAGTAGAAATGCACTGGGTTGAAGGACAGAACAGAGACTTGATGAACCAGCTGTGCACGTACTTACGGAACCAAATTCTTCGACTGGTTGCTAGTTAGCCCTTTATTCCTACTTTGGTAAAGTAAGTCAGTCGTCAAATTTTGTAAATGATTTTTAATGGATGAAAATTGTTGGTTAGCAAAACCTGTTTTTTCCCCTTAAAAAATGAGTAAAGTGGAGATTAAAGTCCGCTTTGATATTTTAAATAGCTTTTCCAAAGCTGTAAGGAGTACATGAAGTGTACTTCATTGGACATGAAGTGATGGGGAAGTAACAGATTTTGTGCTGCAGCTGCAAAACTACATGTTAAAGTGAGACATGTCTATGCTGTGAACGTTTCAAATATCAACAGTGCTTATTCTGATCTTTTTTCTGGTGCAATAGAATTCTATATCGTTGCTAAGTAGACATCTTTACTGAAATATTTTCTTCAATATTTTTTCAAGACTAATGTAGGAAATGGTTAGTCTGCTGTGGGAATTGTTTTCTGCAGCGAGGAGTCTTCAGCTAAGGATTTAAGTATGCCTCTCTTCCCTTTAATGCATTTAACCTTTGGTCTATGGAGTGGCAAGATGGATACATCCTCTAAGTGTCAATTCATTAAAATAATCGCTTTAGAAAAACCGTGTGTTGTACTTTTCTGGTGTTTGGGCTTTGAAACATAGAAGAGCCTACTATTAGCATCTGGTTTTGTAAACTTTAACAACAAAATAAGCTCTTTGAGCTGCTTGGTTTGAAGAGGATTTAACTATGTTGACTGTTCTATTAGACCATTCCTTACACTGATTCAGGTATAATTGTCTGAAATGACAGCAGTATTCTTAAAGGATTTTGCTTCCATTTAATCTTAAGAGATTGCTTTAATGACAAGAATGAGAGCGTGTGCTCATCTTTGTGGGCCAGAAATTTCTTATGCAGGACAAAGATGGGTACAGAAGCTTTAGGCTGTTGTGAAGGAGGACAACTGGAAAGAAGGCTGTTGCTTCCACACCTGACTCCCTGGTCCTTTTTACCACCAGCTGTTTTCCCAGTGTTTCTGGGCCAATGACTTGTTCCTGTGAGAAAAGAGGCTGTGGGACATGGGTCTTGGGTGCCTCAGAGAGGGCGCGTGTATGTGTTTGAGATTATGAGCACTGGTACTGTTTCACATGAAGTCAGACGCCCAAGCTGCGATCCATTTCTCTGTAGAGATCTACGGAACATGGAGAGAAAGTTTTTCTGAGAGTGGAGTGTGTATGCATGTGTTACCCAAAATAAAAGATGCACTCCTGATGGACAGAAGGAAATACTGCGTACATTCATGCTACTGGAACCACTTTGAATGTTCAGCCTTAGTTGTCACGATTTCTGGAAAGATTAGTATGTTTTCTTAAGTTGAAATTAAAAGCAACTTAGAAAAGCCTTAATTTCCCCCCTCTATTGTTAACTGTTGTATATCATGCTACTTAGCATTTCTCCTGCAGGTGACGGACAAAGACTTGCATTTTTTGGCTATTGCAGAATTTTCACAGAACTGCTTCTGATATTCACGTCACTGGGGAGAGATGAAACCAGCCCTACTCTTTTAGAATCTGAAGAGGTTATTTTGACTAGCTGAGCCATTAAAAACAGAAAGAAAGGCTCTTTGTCCTTTGTGCTGTTCCCTGTTTATCATTTCAATCTGTCTTTCTGCAAGGATGAAGAAGCTCTACAAGGTAAGCCTGTGTGCTTGTGGCATGCTTGTTTTGCTGAAGCAGACTGCATTATGTTGCTTCATTAATTACCTATCTTTCACCTGTACAACACGAATAACCTACACTCCTGAGTGTTGCTTAAACAAAGCCAGGTATTTTTACAAAGAAAACCAGCAGTCTGTGATTTGGGTGACTGTTTTAGAAGTTCAAATATTGTTTTGGCATTTTATTTAAAACAAATGCTTTGACAAAGGTGAGCGTGGCACTTGGAAGGCTAATCCTGTGTTGGGAAAGAGCAGCAATTAAAAACTGTGATTGGTGTGTAATTGCAGAAGTAGCAATCCCGAAAGGGTTTTAAGTTACACGGGTGTGCAGCATCACCAGACGTCTCGGGCATGCCGGGGTGTCGTGGGTACCCAATTTGCTGCGGGAACATCCTCCAGCCTCGAGCAACGCGGCGGCGACACCGCTCCTGCCCTTT